CCTGCTACATAACAGGCACTCAATAAATACTAGCTACTCTTGTTCACATGACTGTCATTTCCCACAGCGTGAAAGTATGACCTGGCTTAGCACAAAGGAGCTTAGCTCTCGTCTGGTTCTTTAATCTCCTCCCCAAGACTCCCCCTCACCTGAGATCTACTGAACGCTAAGCCCGATCAGGCCGTGGTGCCTCCACACATTGTTCCATTTGCTCAAAGTGCCCTTTATTCTCCATTTGATCCGTTCTTTTCATTATTAAAACTCAGCTTGAGGGTTACTTTCTAGATTCCAGTCTCCCCCATCTCCAAGGCAGCCCTGACCTTGCTTAACTGCTTAGTGCCGGCCCCTTCTGCTGCTGTGACACCTCCACCGGACAGTCTCACTCTGGTTGTTATCCTCTTCGCTTACGTGCTTCCCCACGTGGCTATAAGCTTTTTCAGGACAAGATGCTATACCAGTCAGTGTTCCATCTCTAATGCCGGGCACAATGCCAGCATTAATCTGGAATTCAGTTAGACATTTGTTGAATGAATGAATAAATGAGTGAGCTAAAGAGAGAATAAATGGATGTTCACTCCACCTAGAGCCCAAAGGCAGCAGCTGAAACAACTTTGGGACCTTCTGTTAGTATCTGCAGTGATGGGCCTGGAGGTATCCTCCTAGGCCACGGGCCTTCCGGAGGGATGGACAAGACGTGCTGTGCACAGGGTCCTTTCTGGACCCAGCACAGTGACCCTGAATTCTCTAGGACAGTGGTCGGCAAACTTGGCTCTTGAGTCACATGCGAGGAGGCAGCACAGGATGAGCTGCCCACACACACCCCCAGCATTGCTGGCCCCATGCATGCAGCAACTTCTGGGTGAAGAACCTCTGTGTGTAAGATTGTGTGTGCACATATGTGTGCACACGTGTGCGCACTCAAGCACTCTCCTGGGCTCACACTTGTGTGTATACCCTCACTCTCCTCCTTCATGGAAATATATCTGCTTTAAATTAGAGTTACACATCTCAATGTTCGGCTGCACTTACCACAAACTAACAGACCCTGGGGCTTGGCTCACAGGTATGTTTTAGTTGGCTTCCAGGGGGTTTTTGTTTGCTTACTTGTCTTGTTTTTTAATTTTATTTTGTTTTTAATAGCTTTGAGTATGTGGCTAACCCATTTACACTACCTGAATGGATCCCACAGGCATTTAAATTTGCAGCAACATACTTTCTTCTTTCAAACATGATCTAACAAAAGACATGGGTTATTTAATTTAGCAGGAAGAGGGTTACTTGAGGTAACCTGTGCGCACCCTTGTAATAAAAGGAGCTGGACTGAAACAGGAAATAAAATCTCTCACAATGCCTCGTTTTGACTGCCTTGAGAATTCCTTTATAAGTGATTTACAAGTTAAAAAGAGGTTAATACTCTTATCCACACAAGAATGCAAGCGTGTGGGATTGGCCGAAGAGTTCTGTTGGGTAAGTTCTCCATCTGGGTATCTGAGGCAATGGTGTTTTGCCATAAATTGTCAAGTGCAATGCAAAATTTCTTTATACTAATAAAAGCTAAAGAATCAAAGACTTGGAAAGATTTTAAAATATAAGTTAGATTGTATTCCAGTAACTTTCACTCACTGCATTCTAAGGTGTGTGTGTGTGTGTGTGTGTGTGTGTGTGTGTACCTTCTCTCCCTCTATCACTGGAAGAGAAGGAAGAAGAGAGATAGGGGTTGGGGAGGGAGCGAGTGTTTATGTTTTTTAGAGTTAATATTCTAAAAATTTACTTGCCCCCCAAACATCCCTGGGACTGTGGTTCTCATCGAACATCTTTGGGGATCTTCTCGAAATAAAGCTTGAAGACTTGGGAACAGCTCTCTAGGAAATGGTTTAATTACAGAGCAACTCCATCATATTAATTATCCCCAGAACCTGGTCCTTCAAGTTACCTAAGAAATAAAATAGTTCCTGAATAAATAAGCACCACTTAGACTAATGTTAGAATTTTCTGGAAATCTCTTGAGACACAAGGTTGAATTTTCCCAAGGAAGTCATATTATCCTCTCCCTATAGATTTTCTGTAAAACACACACACACACACACACACAACAAACCCCCATCCTAAGCTCTCAGAGTCTTCTGCTCTTAGTGTCTCTTCTATAGACAATTTTTACAGCCTCCTTCATGGGATGCCCTGATTCCAGACTCTGGGAATACAGAAAAAAAAGATGCAATAGCTCATGATCTCGTGATCTGGTTTAGGAGTCAATTACACACACACACACACACACACACACACACATATATATAGTTAAAAATGTGAGTGCTCCCTTGGAGGATTGAATGAGGTGCTACAGGCCAAACTGCTGGAGCCCCCCTCCCAACCTCCTTCACCCCCAGAAGTCTTCCCACAGAATCCACAGCTTTTTGAATCATAAAGGGTAGGTAGAGAAAACAATATTTGTATTTTTAATTGCAACTGCATTGGGTAAGTCACAGAAACCTAAGAAGCTGGAGATGAATTTGTGCCACTTTGTGAGGGGCCTTCTCTATACAAAAGGCTAAGAGATTCCAATGGATTTTTTGTTGTTGCTCATAACTGATGGTGAATGACAAAAATACAAAACCAAAACAAAAAATCCACCCAGAGGAGTAATGTGATTCATTTGGTGTTGTGGGAAGGCCTGCACGGTAGCAGATAGACTGTAGGAGCAAGACCAGAGGGAAAGAAGCAGTAAAAGGGCTAGTGCAGGATGTAGCACATCCTACTCACTCCTCTGTCCCTACTGTGTATGTAGCACAGGACCCATCCAAGAGTTGGGACAAAAGCGGTTGTTAATCATAAACCAAATCAACAAATGAAGGCCCCAGAGGCCCCATGGAAGGAGCAATCTCCAGAAAGCTGACAAGGAACTCACCATGGGGAGGGAAATTTTCAGGCCTCCAGTGCTCGAGGGATGAGACAGAGGATGAGAGTTAAATAAGTAGGAAGACCAGACTATGCTGAGCTTAAGTTGGAGTGGAAAGGGGCACTTCAAAGCCTGAGGGGCTCAGGGTGTTCAAGGACAAGGAGCAGCTCAGGGTCCACTGTTCACTAACTGTTTAGGCTTGGGGTCCTGCCTGACCCCTGGCACAAAAGTTCAGGCACATTCTAGCTCAGGCCACATTAGCACCCAATCTTACACACTGGTTTTTTTTGGGCGGCTTCTGTTCCATCCCCTGCGAGCCCATCCTTACCTTTACCCCTCCCATCACCCCATGCTGATCCCCAGTTGTTCCTTTTCAGAGGATGGCTCATCTCAATACCATGTCAGGGCCAAAAAGGATTACTCACTTGACCAACTTGATCAACTGCTTCCTATAATAGATAAGGCACCCTCCTCTCTGTCTTCTGACTCAGAGATAAGATGTTCCCTGTTCTTTCAAAACCATAGCCCCTCTCTGTGCTGACAATCCTTCTACATTCATTCATCTTCTCAGTTATTCACTGATAAAGATTTGTTGAACATAAACACTATTTTAGGCACTGGGACACACACAGCATTGAATATGAAATGCAGGATCTAGGCTCCTATAGAGCTGACATTTTAGATCCAAGCAGTGACCAAATAAATAAGCTAGAAGACTTCAAAGTAATAAGTGATTAAAAAAAAAAGTAGAGTAATAAGAGCTCCAAAAATCCTCTTGGGTTTCCTATCTCAACATATTTCAGATTAACCACCAATGACCTAAGCCAAATCCCTGGGAAGCATCTTGAATGCATCCTTCTCACTCACTTTTCACTCTTAATTATCAGTCACCAAGCCATGTGGATTCCAAGTGTCAGTGGCTCTCAAATCCATCTGTTCTCCATCTCAATGACACAATGTAGGCACCATCACTGTTGTCCAAATTACTGCAGTATTCCCTTGACTGGTCTCTGCTCTCTAGTCTAGTCCTCTTCCTTCATGTCATGCCCCTGCTTAAAACTGCTCAGTGGTTCTCTATAGTTTCTCAAGTCAAGTGCAAACCCATTAGCATGCAAGGTCTTTCATTACCTGGATCCTGCTGGACTCTTCAGTCCTGCTTTCCTACACTCACCTGCCCCATACAGGTCCACTCAGCCATATCTGCAGATCTGCATGCCCAAGTATACACACCCTCATGTCTTTGACATGCTGTCCCCTCTGCACATACTTCTCTAATTTCTTTGTTCAAAACTCATCTCAAGTGTCATCTCATTTGGGAAGAACCATGCAGTTCTTATGAGGGTTACATTGAGAAGGGATGATGGCACCATGATGGCATTCAGCTATGTCTTATTTCCCTAATGGAGTGTCTCACATATGGAGCACACATAATTAGCCTATAAATAAAGTTTTCCCATTTGCAATAAACCATCTCAGAATATAGGCTTGGATGGGGGGAAGGGGAGGGAATTGTCTCGTCATTATTTTCATAAAATGGACTCACACATAGGACATTTTCCTTCTCATTTATGTTTTTGTTGCTTGCTACTTGTTTTAATTTGAGATCCTAAACATTATTCTTAATGGCTTGGAAGTGATTCTGATGGGTCACAAGATAGGAGACAAGTCCCCGAGATCCCACCATTGGCACAGTGCGCACAATAATAATTCACTGCAGACCCTGACCCTGAGTATTGCCTGGCACATTTGCAGCCTCTCCAGGCTCACAGGGCCCTGGGAGAATCCACCAATCTGTCACTCTCCTGGAAAGATCTGCAACCACAGGTCTCCACCAAACCAAGGTCTATCAGGAGATGCCCTTCCTGGCTGACCTCTGACACTGTAGCCCTGACCTTCTATGGGTCCTTAAGAATGCCGTGTGAAATGAAAAGCTGCTTTCTATAAATGGATTCTCCTGTGGACACCAGTTCCCTGCTAAGGTTGCCTCCACACAGGCACATAAGAGGGCACATCCAGCTATTACTGTCATACTAGGTCAGCACCCCTGTACTGTCTGTGTCTCTGAGTGACAGTCCCCAGCATGATAAACAAGACCTAGCTCTCTTACTTGCATTCAGCAGAGTCTGGATCTTCTTCTCTTCTTCGGCTTCTTGGAGTAGCTTTTCTGCCAGCGTCTTGTCCTCTGATTCCACGCACATGTCTGCTTCCCGAAGGTACTCTAGGTAGTCAATCTCCCGCTGGGCGCGCTCCACCCTCAGTGCCAGGTTGTTCACTGCGCTCTTGTACTCGCTTGTGTAGGTGTGGCACTGCCCCAGCATCACGGATATGTTTTTTGAGAACTCGCGGAAGTCTTGAATGTATGCCCTCGTTGCTTGGGCACATATTTGCAGTCTTTGCTTTAGTTAGAAAATAAATTCCCAAATTACTGCTAGTTATTGAAGTTACCCAAGTAATATAAATCGCTATCATTCATTGAAAAGATTTAAAAAATACAAATAATCAAAAAGGGGGAAAATAAAAATCACCCTTAATTTCTTACTTTAAAGTGCTATGGATACTTCAATGTATCAATTTTTAAGTTTTCCCATGCATTTAGTCCTATATACTTTTCAATGTGGGCAAGTTGGTGCTAAATGTCGTGGTTGAGTATAACTCTGGCACTTTTAAGGAGGTGAGACTGGGGAGGAGGGGTCTGAGGAGGGAGCAAGTGAAAAAGCAGCAAGAGGCCACAGGCCTTAGAACATCTCATCCACCGCCTCTAGCCTCAGTTCGTTGGCCGGACAACATTGGGCCTGCTCTGCGGAATGATTTTGCCCTGACTGTAACTAGATCACCAAATAATTTGGACTTTTAAGGCTTTTCTGGAAAATATTGAAAATAAATATTGGAGATAAGAATGTCTTTGAAAGAAGGTAATTTATCAAAATTTAACTTGTACAAAAGCAAGATGATTAAGCATGAGATAGTCAGTGTCAACACCAGGGTTGTGTCAAAGGCCAAGTAGGGCAGAAGGTCACATTTGCCCCTGGGAGCCTGTTCATGCTACAAAAATGTTGCGTTTTGCAAAGTTCAATGAAATGGTAGCTGCAGTGTGTGGAGAAGAGGCCCAGGATCTTTCTCCATTTAGCATCGCTGAAATCTGCTCACTTCTAAATCCAAGTTCAGTTTGGCAAAAGAAGCTAGGTTGGCTTCTTGGCACAATATCATGACTTTTTACAGTGACCTAACGGCTTATCCTACGAAGACAAAAAGCAAAGCTAAAATTAGCTCTCATCCTGCTATAGTGAAAATGAAGAAAAAGTGACCCTAAATTTTAATTTTCAGATTTTAGAAGTTGAACCATCACATAATAACAGTTTTGGACATTTACCAGTATGCCAGGCACTATTCTAACTATGGAGTAATATTACATCTTCAGAATAGCTTTAGGAGGTAAATTCTATGAACATCCCCATTTTATAGATGAGAAAAACTGTGCAGAGGGAAGTCCTGCTCAAGGAGGAGGTGCACAGTCTGGACTCTGGTGCTCTGAACCACTAGATCATAAAAAATTTCAAGCGTAACCATAGCAATGCATCCAAGTAGATAGGGAAGCATGGGTAAGAGAAGCATGTTCCTGTATCAGGTGCACCAATGCCACCTACCTCCAAGACTTGAAAGCGCTGGTAGATGTAGTGCACCATGCCTGGGTCCTGAGCACACCGTGGCGGGGGCACAAAGGCGGAGAGGAACAGAACCAGGAGAGCAGAAGCTCGCTGAAGGGCCAGCATCGTCCTGCAAAACACCCAGGGGTGGAATCTTCTATGATGGGCCCCTCGAAGAAGACTCAAGGGTCCAGGTGGTGGTCTCCTGGTTTCCAGCCGCTGCTGTGAAAATCCGCTAAAAACAGCCGGAAAGCAAAGTTTGCCTGTTATTCCACCAGATGCATGACCTCACTTTGCAAGCTGGTGATCAAATCCAGCTGTTGGCAAGCGGGTCCCTGGAGGCCTAGCGGGCTGACTTGAGGAAGAGAGCTTCCTGGGTCCAGCATCTGTTGGCATCACCCTGACACACACGGACCCTCCCCAGGCAAGTGCTGCACCCGGCTTCTGGGCCTGGGTGAACGTGCATTGGGGTGGATGCAGGAAGGGCTTCTCCCCTCTCCCCAACTCTTTTACTTTTGCTTTCCTCCCCTCAGTGGACTCTGCAGTCCAATCACAGCCCTGACCTAACACACACCACTCCCAACTTCTCAGAGCTGCAATCTCAGCTTTGTTTCTGGCAAAAATTCCCAGGATCCTTTTCCCAGAAGTCCTGTTGGGAGACCCCACCCCTCCTCCAGACTCTCTTTGCATTCCTGTAGCTCTTAAAGGCACAGCAAGGGGAAGAAAAGCTGGGATATACACAGGGCTGATTGCCCCTTGGAGAGAGATACAATGGGCTGCAGGCCTAGCCACCCAGGCTGATAGCTAAAAAATCTAAGGATTGAGAGCAGAAGAGTTTTATTAAAATGCACAACAACAATTTGTGGTGCTCCTGAGGCTAAAGCATCAGGAAATGGAACTCTTACAAGGAAGCCCTTGATTTTTCTGAGTTCCTAGTGGCAGATGTCCCTTCACCTGTAGCTGTAGGCCAGCAATACATAGAACTCAGTTCCTACAGGCCCCAGTGCTGTTGAAGGTAAATCACATCCTTAGGACAAAATCTTCTAGATTTTGCCTTTGTTGTAGGCCTTTACTTACCTCAACCTCTCCTTCCATGGATGGGTCCACGATACCCATCGTTCTTTCTCCATCACCTACCAACATAGGGAAGGTTGGGGCATCTCTGGGATGTGGAAGGAACCCCGGCCAGGAGTCAGAAGACCTGAGTTCCCAAGAGACACTAACAGACTGAGAATTTCCAGTGTGGCCCTTGCCTGTCCCTGCCCCCCTTAGCTGTTCCTTTCTACCTCTCTTCCAGGTGACCTTAGCCCCTAACTGTGCCTCCCCACGCCCTTGGCAAAATCACAAACAAGGACTCCTCATCCTCGGGAACAATTCCTCCTATTTATGAGAACCATCTTTGAACTATTCTCCAAACTAGCTGAACTCCAGCTGGTCCTTCCTCGTAAATCTTTATTAAAAATACTGCTCCATTCAGCCTCCTTGCCCAAGCGAGAAGGCTCTTTAGGAAACGTCTCATGCCAGGCATTTTGGAATCAAGTCTTCCGCTAAAGGTGCTCTGGTTGATTTTCTTCCAGGAGCGCCCCGCGTCCTAACGTTGAGACTGTGAACTAAGGTGGGTAAAGTCGAGGGGGAAATCAACAATTGCATCACAATTAACGTTGGGGGGCAGCGTTGTGGATAAACTCGTTGTTGGTTTTCTATAGCATGCTTACATTGCTTTTACAATGACATATCCATTCGGTATTAATGAGTCTAAAGAATTACCGGAGAGTTGGTGGGAACGCGGGGGCGGGGGGGGGGCTTGGATTGTCATTGCCCCGTCGTGGATGGGATGTGCTCCAAAGAGCTTGGCTTCCGAGTCCAGGCCGGCAGTTTCTCCCTCTGCCTGCCAGTGACTCAGGCCCCACCCATCTCTCTTCGGTCACCAGCCTCACAGGGACAAGCTTAGTCTCTCTGCTCCAACTGTACCCACATGGTCTTGGAGGGTTTCACTCTTCTGGATCCCAGAGGTGGCAAAGCCCCACAGGTGGCTCCCCTGAGCCTTAGGAGTGGTGAGCCATGGGGCAGACCCAGAGTGGAAAGCCTTGTGTTTTCATAAGCAGAGGTTTCATAAAGGAAACATAATCTCACCTTGGAGGTAGTCACAGCGTTGACTGACAAACAGTAGCAGCCAACTCTGACCTTCATTCAGAGCAAGCCTTACCAATGGACAGGAAAAGATGGCTGGCGCAGTCTGCGGCTGGGATAAGATTACTCACTTGGTTCTTTTGCCTTCCTTACCTTTGACCTCTGGCCTTGACCACTGCTATAGCTCAGTAGTGAGGACAGTGACTGAGCACAGTGACTCCCTTTTCTCCTCTGCCGGGGCCCGATCCTTCTGCTCTCCTGCCACAGCGTCCTGAGAGAGGAAAGGAATCTTGGCAGCCACCACGATGTCCTCCATGTGGCTGGATCTAGGTCACTAGGCCTTGGTCTGTAAGCCCAGTCCCGACTGACTGTTTTCCCGAAATGATCAATCAGACCTGGACAAATTGACACCCAGCCAACCAGCCCACCGAGGCTGATCTCGCCCAGCTTCCCAGGTGCTCTTGGGGTTCTTTGCCACCTTCGCCACTGGTGGTCATTTCCTGCTGTGCCTCCATAGGAGCTGAGGCCCTGATTTCCAGAGCCTCCTGTGCCCCCAGGATCCTCCGTGTTACTGAGCGGTGCTGACCGACTCTGGAAAGTGTGAAGAGGAGACTGTCTTCTTGAGGAGGCAGTGCCCTGCTCACAGAATCCCATCTGGGATTCTAGAATTCATCACTCAGATCTGAACAAGATGTCTCATCTTTTTGTCTTTTCTTCCCTTCTCTTTCTTCTCAGCTTTTCTCTTTATCTTTCATTCACCATTCAGGCCTCTACCCCCATCCTAATAGCTCTTTGCCTTAACGTCATCCTCCAATGCTCCAACCTTTTATAAGTAATTACATTGTTTTTCTGCCTGAGCGATGGGAGCAGCCTCTAATTCCCTGTTTATGTTTCTAGATAAAGCACTGGCTGAGTTTATGCCAAAAGAAAACCCTTGACAATAATCTCAGCCAACCCCTCTTGCTTCAGCTCTTACCATCTCCCATCTTCCACCTCCAGAACAGCCTCATCTAATCACCCCAAACTCCCTAGGACATATGACATCATGGTGTCTCTGCTTATGTGGGTCCCTCAGCCTAGAATGTTCCTCTCTTTTGGAACCAGTGAATTGTTATTCATTCTTCGTGTCTTCCTATCACTTCCTCACCTCCATCCCCAGCAGAATAACCCCTTCTTTCATCTGTTTTCATAACACATTGGAGTATGAATCTTGGAGATCTGGACATGGGCTCATCTGGACATTGGTGCTGTGGGTAGAGAGGTGAGGAGAGGGGCTGGGGGGGGGAATTGAACCTCCTGGTGCATAGGTTGACATTCAACCACTGAACCACTCTGGCCAGGCGTTATGTTTAATCAGTCATGAAAACTTATTAATTTTAGCACCTAAATATATATCAAATATGCCCTCTTCTCTCTTACCCTTTTACCCTGCTGCTGCTTCCTTACTTAGGGCTTCTTTGTGTCCCACTTTTAATTCATTTAACAACTATTTGGGCGTACCTATGTGCTCCAAGTCTTGCACCATGCACTAGCATGCAATTATGGACAGGATAGACACATTCCTTGCCCTTGCAGAGGATGTAGTCAGTAGGGAAGGCAATTACGTGGATGCTTAAGTCAATTATGCAGTAACAGAGCCAGCACTGAATGCAGTGACAGCGTGGGGGTGGGGCCTCTGAGCTCCGTGAATCAGGGGAGACTTTCCAAAGGAGGTGACATCTAAGCGGAGACTTGAAGGATGAATAGGAGTTAGGCCTACAAAGTGGATAGCAGGGAGGAGAGAAGGGGAGGCTCTAGGCAGAAGCAATAGCAGGACAAAGACACACAAATCAGAGAGCGCTTAGTGGACATGAGGGACTGATCAAAGTTCCCTGTGAACTTTCAATGGCTGGGTGATGCTGGAAGGGTATTGTAGGTCAGGTTCCCCAGAAACAGACTGTGAGACCAACTTGTATGTAAGACACGTGGGTGGTTTTCTCTGGAACAATACCTGTTGGGAGTGAGTGAAGCATGAATGGGCAAAGAGAGAAGCTGCAAAGAGAGAAGTTGCAACACAGACCTCAACCAATCTCACAGGAGCTCTGGAACCAGGAGGGCCCCTCACATATACGTCCCCAATTAAGGCCAGGGGACCCCGCCTTGGCACCCTTGCATCAGGCAGTCATTGCCGAGGGCTGGGAGGGTGTATAATCATGAACAAGGCAGAATCCTCTCGAGTGGCATTGTTCTTGCCTGAAGCCAGGAGCCTGGCCCTGTCTCTTCGCAGCCCCCAGCATGGACAGCTGCCTGCCCAGCATTCACGTGGTGGAACAGTCACAGCCTCCCTCTGCTCTTTGAAATAAAAACCATGTACACCAGTTCCCCAGAGCTCCCAAACCTCATTGTGATCATTCTGGTTTGACATTTGAAACCCACCTGGATAGTTTCCTATGAGATGATTATCTCTGGAGGCTGTGTGTCTCTGGTCCTAAGGGGCACTTGTCACTTGCCATGTGGGCTGGCTGAGCTCAGGTGGCCCATTTGGAGTCTCTGTTCCTGCAGCACCTGGAAGCCATGTCTCTGCCAGGACCTTCTGAAGTCTCGCTGCGGTTCACTCAGCTGGGGACGGCTTCAGAATGGAGGGGGAAGACGTGACGAGAGGCACTGATGGGGACTGGATGTGGCCTGTGACTTCTGGGGGTGGGAAAGGTGTGGCTGCAGCTAGAGAACACCTGCTGGCCAGGAAATGATGTCATACTGCCATACTCACTTGCATAGAGCTCCTTCCCAAGGAGGCCCCAGGGCCAGGGCTGGTCAGGGTAAATTGGAAGCTGGGTCTTCTAAAAAAATTTTTTTTATTGATTTTGGAGAGAAAGAGGGAGATAGAAACATCAATGACGAGAGAACCATTGATCAGCTGCCTCCTGCACACCCCACACTGGGGCACACCAGCCAGTGGGAAGCCTGGTCTTACGCAGGCTCTGTGGCTTCCCCAGTACAGGACCACCCTTGGTCTCTGCTGCACCGGTTCCCAAGTAAGTGAGGCCTCTGGGGACCTACGACCATTTAGTCCACTGGGAACAGACCCCAGGACTTAAAGCTGAAGGGCTAACCCCTCTCCCCAGAGAGTACCTGCTTGGTGATTGCAGTTCAGTGTTCCAGCCCAAATATTGTCAATTTTGTGCAAAATATTTGTTTGAGCCTTTAGCCACTAGAGGGCAGAGACTTTTCAGGTGTTACCTGCCTATGGCAGCGGTCATGGTCTGGTCATAGTCTGTTTCCTTTTGAGATTTGAATGGAAATAAAAAACTCTCCTCCAGAGTCTGCACTGGGTTCTCAGCAGCAGGAGCCCAGGACTACACAGGCCCGCCCCTGCCACACGGCTTCCCCCGGACAGGCATGGCGGTTCCTTAGACTCAGAGACACACAGACACCAGAGGTGGACGAGCGCACAACACACTGGGCCCATCCTCCTCACGTGAGAAGCAGCAGGAGCCACGGGTGGTCTCAGCGGCACAGGCAGGAGCAGAGCTCTGGGCCAGCCCCAGTCCATGGCTCTCTGCACCGGTTATACTGTTTCTGGGCCTTTGCTCAGTGTTTCTCAGGCTAACAAGCCAGCTGCAAATGCTATATATGAATGGCAACCTTTCATCAGAAACAGCAACCCTGACAAACCCTTTGCCTGATCTGACACGATCCTTTCATGAATCCACAGATCATGGCCCTCGAGTGGTGAGGACACACCTAGTGACACCTTTCCTGGCTGCAGACCAGGTTATAGAGGTGAGCGTCATGTAGAATCTTCCATAAAATGAGAGGTGAGAGCTGCCATGACTGAGGGTCATAGGTATCTGAGGAGACAGAAAGAAGCGTCCGAGAGAAGTAGGCTCCTTAGCCAGGTGGGCAGGTATGCTCAGGAAGTCTTGCCCTATGCCTGGCATTCCCATGCAGCGATTTCCCCAAGACCCTTAGAGCTCCTTGTTGCAAAGGGATGCACAAGGTCAAGTCTCCCAGCTCAGAATGAGGCCTTGCTCTCCTCAATCATTTTCCTTTGCCTCGAAAGGAAGGGACATGAAGCCCTGCATCGGCCTCTGGCTTCGTCCGAGCTGTTCCTGCACAATGATTGCATGTATGTGTGTGTGTGTGTGCATGTGCACAGTGACCGGGAATACCAAGCAACATTAAGTGAAGATCACTGAGAGGCTGGGGCAAGGGGGGAGGTTCAGGCAGGGGCAGCCTGTTCCACACTTGGTTTGTGTGCTGAGCCCTATGGCGATTGCCAGAGTCCCTTTAAGCCCAGAAGAGTGGAAGCCAAGTACAGAATTGCTGATGTCCCTAAGGTATGTTTGTGATCTGGTTGCATGAGGGACTCACAAGGGCCTGGGCAGGGATCCCTAAGGGCCGGGAGAATAGTAGGAAGATGAGGCCTGAAGGTCACAGGGCTGGTCAGTGGCAGAGCAGATCCTCAGCCCACCACGGGCCAGCTGTTTCCCACCACACTCTGCTAGGAGCGAACTGGTTTGAGTTCCTTCTGCATCTTCTCGGGCCAGCTGGTCTCTCCCACTGCTTCCATCTACCAGAATAAGGCAAACGTTTTACGATGAGAGCCCAAAGCAGTGAGATAGTGCACTAAAATAGTTTCAAGTGGTGGGCAAAAGTTTAATCTTCCTTCCCAGTCCTTACCCTTGGATAATTACAGCTTCAAGCCTGAAATCTGCCTTTCCCAAGCTAGTGATTTTACCTTGGCCCCTGGAGTCAAAGGTCATGAGTTTGCCCCTCAATCATATAAACACCTTCCTCCACCAGGACCTGCCCTCCCCAGGGAAGATCAGAAGACGTGTGGATGGTGCTGGGGTTTCCTGTGCTGCTCTTCTCCTCCAAGCCGGAAAGGACCCCCGGGGGGTTGTGGGTCCCACTGAGGCTTCCTGCTTAGGACCGGTCATTTAAGGAGGCACCACAACAACTGTTTTTTATTTTTTCATGGGCTGTCAAAATTGACATAATGGAGCCATTCAGTTAAACATCAATATTTGGCTTACCAGATATAACAAGCATTTGAATACTTCACTAAACTTTTCTGGTTTCTTTAGTCATAGACATAACTCTTGAATTTTCTCTGAGTCCATTGTTTACATTTTTTGAAATTCCCACCTTTATGTCCCCTAAAATTTCAAGATCAGTAAGCTTTAAAAGGTAGGAAACAATGAAGAAAGAATACTGCGTTTGGGTTGGCTCTAGGTGACAATTTTCCTCCTCCCTTGTATTCATAGACAGAGGTTGCCCTTGCTCTTATTCTTTTGGTGACATAGACTCATTCTTCTTTGCTTAGATATTTTTTAGGGGTGGGGGTGGGGAAGGAAAGAACCAAGTGACAATTGCTGCCAAAATGGCATTGCCTTGACCTGGATGCACGCCCGGAGGGTTTCTGGAAGCTGCTGCAGCATGAGCTGAGCATCCTCAGGCCTGTGGCAGGGCCAGCAGGTGTTAACAGCCTGGTCAGGGCCCATCCACTGGGGCAGGTCAGGCAGGCAGCTTCCTGTGGATCTCAAGTATGGAAAACACTGGGAGGCAAAGTTTGAATGTCTTCTTGCTCATTTTACTCAAACTCACACAACTCTTTCCAACCCTGTCAGTGCTGTTCAAGATAGTGTGACACTTAACTTTGCAGAGAGAACAAAGGAAAACCAATAGATAGCTTAGACACATATTTACTTCGGTTGAAGTACTTTCCACACCAGGTGTTCTAATTTGGAACACAGCATAGAGCTGCTCATCTTCGATTTTATATGGTAGCTCAGGTACCCTGTTTCTCTCCAGGGCTGGGTCTTATTTTCAATAAAGCCTTTATAAAAAATTTCCATCCAAAACACAATTTAAAAATTCTGACCATAATGTTGGGACAAAGTGCAGATTTGTTGCTCATCTAAGAAAGTCCATGAGACTTGGTGGGTCCAGCCAGGCAGTGAATCGTTGGCAGAGTTCCAATCCGAGCTGTGGACACGCAGGCGGGATGGTGCACTGTAGTTGTTTTACGAAACATGAAGTTTATGGCAATGTTTTTTTCATCAGGTTCTTATCTGGCTTGCACTTGCTTGTGCATTTTTGAAAATTTTATTTTAGACTTAAAATGTTAAGTTAGTTCCAAAATTTCTTGAGGAAAAAAATATTATTTTTTAAAAGTCATTACTTTTTGGAGATGAGGGTAAAACTTGTTTCTAGAAAGTTTATTTACCAGTTGATATAGTCCACAAACTCAACTCTGAAGCCCTGAATACAAGTATCTTCAGATATTTGAAGAAATTATTTTATTATTATCTGAAAGCTCTGAGTGTGGTGAATTAGAGAAATTATCTTTCTTTGATTAATTCAAATCTGGATACTGTCACCATGCAAAAACGAATTTTGTCTAAATTGTGAAAGTCATTGTCTTTGGGGCAATGTTCACTTGATAGGAAAAGCCATGAATATTACTAGTCAAGCATTGGCTTAGAAATAGCTTTAATGTAAAGAATAATATCGGAATAATAACTATAATGAAATTAGTATGGAGCCAAGAAGATACTACCTTTTTTAAAAAACTAACTTTACTCTTTGGAACTGCAAGTTGAATTTTCAAAAAAATAAAGAAAATAGACAAAAATGATACCGTACATTGTAAGCCATAGAACATAGTGTTGTTATTATAACTTTTACATTGATAACTGTACTGTCAAGCAATACTCCTCTAGCCTTCGCGGAGAAATCTCACTTACGGTGGAGTGTGGGAGGCAGTGCAATGACGTCAGGGAACAGCCTCTGTGGCCCAGGTCCCTTCGGCCTTTTCTCTTGCCAACCAGGCAAAGATGCATGTGAATCCTCAGCTGGCTTGTGGGTGAACTGGGGGAGCCTGATGCCATTAAGGCTTAACCCTCTGAGGCTTGGAGGCCATCTAGGTTATTGGTCCTTTCCAGGCCCAGAGCTCCTGGACACGGTGAAAAGACAGCAGGGAGTGTGCGGACAGGGGTGATTATGCCGCTGGTTTAATTTTGCAGCCCATATGCCCAGGGAGCCTAGGCAGCAAGTGACAAGTAAGCCTTCCGAGTGGAAGAAGGGAGGAGTGGGCTCTGCCATGGCCCTTGGAGAGCCTGGGTCGGATTTCTTAGGAGACTGAGCAAAGGGTGCTTGATACCTGACATCGACACTAGAGGCAGGTGCATGGTGCTGTTCAGGGCTTCTGTTTGCCTTACATCTGGGCTTAGAGGTGAGGACCAGGTCTCGCCTTCTACAGCTCCTGGAATACCAGCCAACCCCCTTGCCCTGCTTTCCTTGAAGTTCTCCTACAGGTCTTCCCTGGATATTTCCTCGGTTGGTAGGGCAACTGCTCCCTCTGGTCATTTTCTTTCTCTTAGCTCTACTATTTCATCTCTTCCTCGAAGGTCAGCCTATTTCAGATGCAGTCAGATTAAGGTGGAATAGCATGTGCTGGAACAAAGGGCCCCCTTCATCTTGGCCTCTTTTCCAGAAAGGGCATCTCAGAGACCCACCGTAATTCTCTGAGCACTGCCTGCGACTGATCTCTGGCTTCCAAGATAAAATCCCGAACAGCGCCTCTGCGACATCACTGGCCCCGTGGCTGGGGAAGCAATCGCGGGTGGTTGTTAAAGGATGTTGAGGGGTATCTCCTCTCTCCGGTTTGGAGAGAAGACTGGAGGGGCAGGAGTCAGAAGGCCCCATCCGTGATAAAACCTCAGTCTCAGAAAAACCTCACTGACCACTCATAGCCCTGGCTGTGCTCAGTGTCAGCACCAGCTCAGGAATGCGGTGTGTGAGAGACATCCTCTTCGCAGGGTCTAGGACGGGACAGCAAAGCAACAGGGGAGGCCACCCTCTCTGGCTTGAGTGTGGGTGGCAATTCCAGGCTGGACACTGCCAATATCCCCCCAGTAGCCATCGGTGAAATGGGGGGCTAAGGGCAGCTAAATGGTCTGCGAATTCCCAGGATCCATCTAGAGGACGCCGGCATCATTTTTGGCCATCTGCACAACCATGTTTTATGTCCTTTTCTCAGTTTATTAACCCCTTCCCCGGCAGAAACGTGTATACACGTTTTCACAAAATGTTCTTTTTTCAGTCGTCGACGAGTATACTCGTCTAAAACTTCACCTTCAAAAACCAGCTACATACGTACCATTCTAAATAATTTCATCTAGAAACCTTCTGAGGAAATACTATTCTTAACCACAAAAATGGGAAGAAAAAATAATTACAAACTGTTTTCATAACCAGCATCAAAAATACTATATAGAACCAAAATAAAAAAATTAGTCTGAAAAAGAAACGTTTTTAACAAAAAAATTGTTGGGGAAGGAGTTAAATCACTTTCTATATCTTTTTTTGAAAGTTCTAGCAAGCTGGCAGAGTTAGATAGAGACCAGGTGAGGGGAAAGGTCAGTGGACTGGCCCCAGACTATTCCATATCGCAGGGCTGCTGCGAGGGGGGAGGGGCAACTGGAGAAAGCACCATGGCAACACTCGTGGTGTGGAGACCTTATGTGAGGGGACAGCTGGCAGAATTATGTTCATCCAATCTGGACTTGATAAAACCCTTCTCTCTTAAGTAGCTGCAATAATTCTTTCTGAAGTCTTCAGAAAAGGAACAGACCACCTCTAACTTAGTATACGTAGCATTTTCATCTCTGCGTTTCCAAGGATGGGAATGTCTTGTTTGAACCTTTACTTTGGCGCAGAGATGAGGGGGAGAAAACATCCAACCCGAGCATTTGAGCAGTCAGTAGAATGACAATAATCGTGGTTTTCCTCCAGGGTTTCTTGTGACATCGCAAGATCTATAACCATCATAATGAGCTGCCTTTCTTTAGCTTCTGCTCTATTTAAGTGTCCACGGATATTACTCCCCCCCACTTTTGCCCCTTACTCCTCACCCCTCACTCCACCCTTCTGCATGTTAAGTATTGCATGTTGGACAATACCCTTCCCCCCAAGTTCAAGGAGACAAGGTTGGAATTTTTCAAAAGGAACATTTACTAGGAAACTAAAGGGAAACCAAACAGAATGCAAGAGAACAAAAGTAGAGTTGCAGATCGGCTGAGGGAGTTCAAATGTATAACGGTCCTCTGGCCACAGCTGGACTGGCTAGGCAAAGCTTTCCAGACACAAAGCCACCTGCCTGCCATGTGGGCAGGCCTCTTTGCCTTCTGGCCTCTTTAAAACCACCTTCTGTTTCATACCAACAAACCAGTAGCATACTCATTAGTACCCCAGGGCTGCTAGCTCTTTGGGCAGGAAGATCTTGATGGGGGAATAACAGACACAGCCGCCCCAGGATCTCCTGTCCAGGCTCCCAGTGCCAAGGACATATCAAAATTTATTGGGAGGGCTGCCTGATACTTATTTGGGACAATCTGGTTTATCTGGGACCATTCTTCTGGGCTTATCTGCCTGACTCTGGTGATCATATTTCTGCTGGTATGAGTGTTTCATGCTTTGCTCCTAACACTGAAATGGTGAAGAATGTCTGAATAGGGAGAACTAGGCAGAACGAGTTGGGCAAAGAAAGTAGCATTCTTCTCATGTCGTCAGACATAGGCAGAAACTTGGGTCCCCCTTCAATCCTGGAGGATGAAAGCCAATGAGATGGAAATGAATCAGGCAGGCTGGGGAGCACGTGAAGCTGGGCACAGCAATAGTGCCCCACACAACCAAAGGCCTCCATCCTTTTAGATCTGACATCAGGGTATTTCCTATACCAGGCAGCTGTGGCAACACAAAACTTTCTGAAGACACACAATGATCCTGTTTCCACCCAGTTAGTCCTCCTGAAATGATCATTCAAATGAAGATAATGAGCTTCCCAGGAAGGTAAACTATAATCTAACTCTGGATTCTGCTGCAAAGGGATCGCATGAAAAGGGAAATGTTATCTTGCAGAAGTGGTGAAAATGTGTGGGTGTGGTACTTGCACCCATCATGGGAGAGAGGACTTCCCCGCCCGGGGTATGCTGAGGCCTTTGGCTTCATTTATATGACAGCAGAAGCAATGAGGATGAGGAACACAGTTGGCAGTGAGTTGGCTGATATGGTCACAAAGGAAGCTGAGTAATGAATGAGATACTGGGGAGAGCCCTTGTCCTTCACTCTTGTGGGTATTTCCATTCCCCAAGTGCTATGAGAGTGATCTATGTGTCTGGAAGTGAAAAGGAAACCTGTTTGTAGCTACCCAAGGCTACCCTCTGGGCTGCTGCATGTGGAATTACCCCAGAAGGCACGCAGGCCAAGAAGGCCCAAAAGTTGTGCCTCCACTTGTGGGATTGCTGTACTCTCTCTCCATGAACTCAGCTCTCACAACGGCACATCCATTTTTGAGGCTGTTCCCTCCGTGGACAAATGAGTCTGGGAAAGGGTACTCAGTGCTTACACCACTGAGATGGATGTAACCATCTTACACCGCTAACAGGGATGGTAACTTTCATTCTAATGCCAACACTGGTTGGAAAGAAGTGGCTGCTGGCTACCCAGAAGACAGTGCTGTGGATTCTGACTCCTCAGAACCTGGGTTTAGCAGATGAGAGGGTCACGATCAACTGGTACTCGCTGCCATGTGTATGGGAGAGGGCAGTGGGTTTGCTGTGAGCTAGCCCTCCTGGCACTAGATTTTCTCCAGGGGAACAGCGTGCTTATCCTACTCCATTCCTGGAGCTATTCCTGGCAAAGCTGGAACACTTTTGGGGTAAAATATTTTCTGGAGACAGCTATTAGCTCAAAGATGAATTAAACCTGCTGCCTAGTTAGCACCTGGATATATTTTAAAATATTCTGTCCTTCCAGGGCATTCAAACAAATAGCATCATGTCAGTATGACGTTGCCAGGGCAGATGCTGTGCCATCACTGAGAGTCCTGGTCCTCTCAGTCCTCTCACTGTATCAGCTGGTTTCCTCCGTGGTCCAATCCTGGTTCTTGACTGTGAGAGACGTGCTGCCCCGACAGCACACCACGTTAGACCATCTGAAGACAACTGGACCATTCATGTTCACCAAACCCAGTCTGGAAAGAAGGCCAGTTACCACTGTGGTTACAGCTGAGCATTTGGTCACTGGAGTTGTCCGGGCGTTGTTGGATAGGGAATGTTACTTAAGATCTTTGTGAGATGGTTGTCCTACTGTGTCCTTGGCAAAGCAGTTCTCTTACCCACAGTCATCGTTTCTGCAGGAAGAAGAAACAAAAAGAATGCTTTGGTTTTCACCCATATATTTTTAACGTGTAGCAAACAAGTGCCAGGCACCGTGCTGGATGCAGGGCATGCAGTCCCATGGGTAAGACACACACCTTGCTTTCCGGGAGGCTCAAAGAGGGAGAAATTACAACATGGGAAGCTGAATAACAGAGGTGCGCATTAAAATGCATCAGAGCAAGTAGGAGGGAGGGAAGAGCTTCCAGGGGGTTGAGGAGGCTGCAGAGAGGGTGCTGAAAGATAAGTCTTTCAATTTTTTTTAAAAAATCTTTAAGTATAGTTGGTATAAATATTACATTAGTTCCAGGTGTACAATGAAGTGATTAGACATTTATATACCTTACACTGTGACCACCACACTGTCTAGTAATCATCTGTCACCATGAAAATTTATCACAATATTATTGGCTATATTCCCCTTCACCTTCCCACCCATGCACCATCCCCTCCCCTTTGGCAGCCATCAGTTTGATCTGTTTCTATGAGTCTGCAAAGAAAGCAAATTGAAACCACAATGAGCTACCACCTCACAAAAGTCAGAATAGCTATTAGCAAAAAGTCAATGAATAACACGTATTGGCAAGGATGTGGACAGGCAACCCTTGGGTACTGTTGGTAGGGCCACAGATTGGTGCAGCCACTACAGAAATCAGTATGGAGTTTCCTCAAAAAATTAAAAATAGAACTACCATAGGACCCAGGATTCCACTTCTGGGTATTTATCCGAACAAAATAAAAAGACGAATTAAAAAAGATATATGCACCCCTATATTTATTGAGGAATTATTTCCAATAACCAACATATAGAAGCAATGTAGGTGTCCATTAATATATGGATGGGTATGCCGAAACCGGTTTGGCTCAGTGGATAGAGCGTCGGCCTGCAGACTGAAAGGTCCCAGGTTCGATTCCGGTCAAGGGCATGTACCTGGGTTGCGGGCACATCCCCAGTGGGAGATGTGCAGGAGGCAGCTGATCGATGTCTCTCTCTCATCGATGTTTCTAACTCTCTATCTCTCTCCCTTCCTCTCTGTAAAAAATCAATAAAATATATTTTTTTAAAAAATATATGGATGGATAAAGCAGTTGTGGTATATATATATATACAATGAAATATTACTCAGCAATAAAAATGCATAAAAGCTTGCCGTTTGCAACACTATGGATAGACCTGCAGGTTATTTTGCTCAGTGAAATAAGTCAGACAGAAAGACAAATGCCATATGGTTTCAATTACACGTGGAATCTAAAGAACCAAAACAAAGGGACAAACAAGAAGGATACTTCTTGAGTTGGAGCATTTAGGCCAGGGGTCCTCAAACTTTTTAAACAGGGGGCCAGTTCACTGTCCCTCAGATCATTGGAGGGCTGGACTATAGTTTAAAAAAAAACTATGAACAAATTCCTATGCACACTGCACATATCTTATTTTGAAGTAAAAAAACAAAATGGGAACAAATACAATATTTGTATTTGAACAGGTACCAAGCAGGAAAGGGCACGTGGGCACTGGATGTATTGTCAGAACGGGGTGGAGTGAGGGGCGGAGTCGTGGGAAGTGAGCTGGGGAATGGAGGGGGTCTGTGTGGTGCAACATCCCTTCCTTGTTTCCAGTCCATGAAGGGCAGGCTTTCAGTGGAGCCCAGACTTAGAGCAGCAAGATCTTTTGTTTCCCGCTCAGCCCAGCCTTCAACTTATCAACTCAGGCCATTTTCCAGTGCAGATGGAGGGAATTCATGCTGAGTCACAGAGAGAAAGAAAACGGGAGTCACTGCCAGGGACACGGCGACGACAAAAACGATGCACAGACACGATGGGAGAGCCCAGACATTCTCCAATCAGGATACATGAACCGAATTCCAAAGCCCAGGTGTTCACATGTGAGGCTAGTAGAGAGAGAAACACAAGCCAGAGAGCGTACACTGGGGAGGGAAAAGCATGTCGGACTGCGACTCGGGGCTTTGAAGCTCGTGTCTGGATGTGGGAGCACCCATGCTCCTGGGGAAGGCTATGTTCCTTTCTGAGTCCAGGAGGGAAATGTGAGTGGATATTTGCCTTATAATACTCCCAGGCTAGCTGATGCTCAGGAGTTCCCTCCGAATGGCTCTACTTCCCCATCCACCACCCACAGCAGGCCCCGCTTCCCAGAGCCCCTTCTCTCAGCTGTGAGGTCCCAGCTGCAGGTCCAGCGAGCAGCCCGCAGCCTTCCGTATCAGGGAAGGCAATCTATGGACAGGCTCCGCTCCACCAATGAATTCGGTCTGGAATTAGTTGTCCTGCTATTAGACAACGAGGCCATGTGCCACATTCTTCCAGCTTTTTAGTACCTGTTGTGTGCCAGGCACAAGGAAACCAACTGTTCAAATCCTTAAGAGAATCCTATGAGGTTCTTTACTGGAGGATGCAGATCTCTGCATCCAAAAGATCAATTTGCCCAAAGCCACACTGTTACTAAGTGCCAGAGCTGGGATGTGAACCCAAGATGTCTAACTTCAAAGTCTAGGCTCTAACAATTACATGATCCCTAAACTCATTCTGTAAGTTCAGTCTACCCATTGAAGCTTCTGCCTTGGTTTTTCTAGGCAGATGAGGTAATTGTAAGGAACTCCAGTCCAATTAGTAGAATGCAGCAGGTGCTATACCCCACTTATGGTTCCTACCTTCTTATTCCATTCCTTTGGATCCCCCTGGTTAGTGACCTGTGTGTGTATCTCATTTGCCCCTCAGTTCTATGTACAACCCCAGGCTCCCGTTCTGACCTTATTTCACCTCCATTTGAGCAGTCCCTTCAGACTGTCTGGGTAGAGGTCTCCCGAAATGCCCACGCCGCAGGGACCACCCCATTTTCTCATTTGTTCTGGCCTAATCTGAAGCCCGCTTAGAGGGCTGGGCTACGACCTCAGCCAGTCTTTTACCAGTTCCCAGGCTCGGTAATACCACTACCTGAGGCCATGCTGCCGATGGCCAAACCACAGGAAAGCTCCAATCTGGCCTCCATAGCTGGCCTTCGCTCAGTTAGTGAGTTTCCTTGTGCACAATTAGCTGGAGTCAAGCTCAGCCCCTGGGGGTACTGTGGAGTAGACTACGGTCTCCCCTTCTTCAGCTGAGTAAGTTTTCTGGGCCCTGATAATGCCTGGTCCTAGTATCCGATGTTTTCCTCCTCTTGGCAGTGCCACTAAGTCCCCAGAATGTTTTTGGCCCGCCAGCCACACGATGATGGGACAAAGGAGTTTCAGTGTGTCTAGTGGGATGCAGGGCTCATCTCCACCAGAGGTCTTGTAAGAGAAGCTTCTTGAAAATGATGCTCTCCTGGAGAAAGTCAGGGATACAAGTTAGTGTGAGGAAAGCAGTTCAGTTGTTCCAGGAGAAGGGCGATTTCGAGCATGGCACGGGTGAACTGTGCTATGGCTCAACCTCTTTGGTTTGTCTTGTGGGAAGAAGACTAGAAAAACTCAACCAACCAACCACCCTGACCCAGTAGGAACTTGGTGGGGGAATGGGGTGGTGGTGACCGTGGCTGATCAAGACTGTAGATATCAATGGTGTTCAAGCCCCTGTGGCCATAAGGCTGGCCTTGCTGGTCCAGGGCTGGCACCAGGCCCATTTCAGTGGGCAGAAGCAGCAGCAACCTTGTTATCAGGCCTCCCAGGCAGCACCTGGGGTTTAGACGGTATCAGAGTTTAGTGGCATCAGCAGGAGTAGTGGTTATAATCTTTTCTGAACAGAAGGGATTTTAAGCGAATTCAATTGCTCTGAGACATATGAATCGGATTTGAATTAAATTGAATTGAAACCAAAGATGAGAACTGTCCCGGTGAAAACTGTAATGTGAAGTGACATTTCAATCACAAAAATGACAGCTGATGTGAGACAGGCCACTGAAACTGACCTCAAATTAAGAACATGAAAAGACTGAGTGGATCATTAGATAATATCTTCCTGTGAATTTGAAAATGGGTTTTGATTACAGGAAGTATCTAAGGGAGAATGAAGAAGCTTGTCAAAAATTGAAGTGACTCATTACATTATTCAATCTTATATGCACTTAATATGGTTAAGCTTGAATTTTAAAATTTTATTTTAAAAAGCATAAAAATCCAGGATTATGTTGCCTATTTATTATGTACCACAGCTTTGCAAATAGATGATGGAACATCATGCCACACCCACTTAGAATCTGATTCTTCCCTTCTCCCTTTCTCTAAAGAGGACATTCTTTATTGTTCACTCCCCTTCACCCCTCAAAGAATCAGTATGCTGTCTGGTCAGTGTGGCTGAGTGGTTGAGCGTTGACCTATGAACCAGAAGGTTGAGGTTCGATTCCTGGTCAGGGCACATGCCCCAGGTGAGGGCTTGATCTCCAGTAGGGAGAATGCAGGATCAATGTTTCTCTCATCATTGATGTTTCTATCTTTCTCTCCTTCTCCCTTCCTCTCTGAAATCAATAAAAATATATTCTTTTAAAAAAAGAATCAGTCTGTTAAAGAAATAAATCAGTATGGCTATAACTATATTTCCAGTCAGGAGACTGGGGCAATAGCATGGAAAATGAAAGGGGCCATTTGGGTAATAACTACTATTTAATGAACACTAAAGCACCCTGCTCTACCCTAAGAATTCGGCATATCTTATCTCATGTAGCCTTGGCCCTCTGTGATAGATATTATCATTGCATGTTTACAGAGCTAACTGGGTCTGAGAAAGACAAAATAACAAAGGCAGTAAATGGCAGAGCCAGAATCTGCCATCACTCGTTTATGGGCCCAAATGCATGCTCTTCAAGTACTATGCCTGGGATGGCAAATTACTGCCATTCAATACCAACTCCATTGAGATGCCTTTCTAAAAAGGATTCCCAGTTCAGAAACTGAACTGAACAGTCCCCGTCTTTGCAGGCAAGTGTATCAGGATCCATTGTCAAGTCAACCTTGAGAGAACAGGTGGTGAATGGTGGCACGTGTGACATGTAGAC